AGCGGCGCCGGTGAGTGCGGGGCGGTTGGGGGGCGGCCGGGCCTGTCCTGGTTGCGGTCTCTGCCTCGCTGTCTCGCTCCGTCTCTCTTTTCCCTAAAGCCAACGGCTAAGAAAATAAAGGGGCTGGAGGTACCGAGCTCCGGCCCCAGGGCTTCGCACTGAGCTACACCCATCCCATAGCCCGCTTTTTAAAGCTCTTGAGATGGGACTCTGAGTTGCCCGGGCTGAGCTCAAACTCGTGATCCTCCTGCCTCAGCCTCAGAGTGCTGGGATTGCAGGCTACCTATACCGCCATCTCCTGTGGCTCGCACCTCGCCTTTGCAGCCTTCCCCTAAACCTCCCTTTCTTCCCCTCCTCACCACTAGGTACTACTGCTCCCCAAACTCCTTTGGTTCTCACCCAGCAGTTTATTTGGTCTGCATTTTTTTCTCGGACCTTCTGAGTAGCTCTTATGCTGCCCAGCTGTGGCCGGGACCAACTCCACAGGTCCGGTGTGTTCTACTGATTGTCTCGGAATGGAGCTGACCAGGGCGGACCCCACCACCTACGGCGCCGCCTGCGGCCTTATCGGTGGGTCCCAGAGGGTTGTGGTCCCGGGATCCGAGCCTTAATTCCCACCCCGGGGGCCCAGGGCCGGGTGAAGCTCGAACTCCCGAGACTAAGCCCTGAGGCTGAGAGCCTTCTTGCCCTAAATTTGGTATTGTGCTCGGGCCTAAAACCCCTTCCACCGCCTGCTCACCGCGTCCCGAGAGCGGCTCGGTCCGGATTTGCCTTTGCTGAGCGCCCTGGGCTGGGTGGGGAAGCGGGTCCGGGACCTAGGCCTCTGGGTGTTGTGCAGATTCTAGGGTCTGGCATTTTAAAGACATTAATGGAGACGCTTGTAGGCAACTCAAGACAATTTTTTGGGGGGGGGGAACTGAGGTTCTGCGTTTCCTTATCACAAAACTGGCACCAGTGCACCCTAGATTTTTTTAAATATATTTCCTCCAGATCAGTGTAAGCCTGGGACTAACCTCGCGTGAAAATAGAGAGAAAACAGAAATAAACAATAGGAAATACAAGCCTATTTGAAGACTGTTTTTGGTGGTGCTGGGATGCAAGGAGCCATCCTGAGAGACAGTTTTCCCAGTCGGTCCTTCTGATTACTTAGCCCGAGTGTTGCTCAGATCGGAAGACTTTAGGTCAGGGAAGGGAAATTCAAACTAATTTACATTAGAAAGACACTGAGAGTAAAGGGTTCCTGGGTAGGGTTGCTAGGACTGATAACCTAAGAGCTCAGCTGGAAAGCTTTGGGTCTATTAAGTAACACCTGAAGCCCCAATTCTGTTACGTAGCATTTTTTTTCTCTCCCTCTAACTACCTTGAAACTATACAGAGTTACACTTCCTCATTAATTTATGAGCGATACCGAAAGGATTGCCCTAATCTAACAAGGATTTGAGAGCCTCTGTGGGCGCGCACTTTGTGAACAGCTGAAGAGGAATGGAAGATGGGAAATTTCCTAACCCAAACAGCCAGACTAGAACACAGTGCAGACCCGTGTTTGCCCTGACTGTGGCTGAAATCAGAATCAGTTGAGTTTTCATCTCCTTCCAAAGCCTTGTGTGTCCCTGATACCTTAATCATTCTGTAATTTTGAGGTAAGCCTTTTTCTAGGAAATAAAACTAAGAAGATGTGTCCATCCTCCCTTATCACATAGATAAAGGGAAATGGAAACAGGGATGTGTGGAAATCCACAAACGGGGTGGATACAGTTTAATTTACTCCCAAGTGGAATAAACATCGGGCTGCCTGAGTACATTTTTTGTCGGTGGGAATCAATCATTGTATTATTTGCAAAAGACTAAAGGCAGATTTGCCCTGTTAATGTTTTAACTGAGCAAGATCAACTTTGATTTTGAACATAACACATATCTCTCTGTTCTATTTTTCTTGCACTTCTCAAGAAAAGTACTTCTGTGCTGATTTCCTCTCAGTACCGATGCCCCATTTGGGGGAGGTTTCTCACACACAATTTTTGCACCTGTGTTTTGCTAAAGATGAGAAGTTCAGACATTGAACTTTGCTCCCAGGCCCCCAGCAGTCCTCCGGTGTCTGTGTTTTCCTGTCGGAGCACCGTGTTGCATGTAAGCTGCTGGCAGCGACTTGGAAGGATGGGTTGGCATCAGGAGTGAACAAAGGCACCGCAGACCTTCTTCCAAAGCACAGGCCAACAGCGGCCAGTTAACTCCGCTTTCCTCTTCTTCCCCCAGGGGACGGTGAGCGCTCCCTCTCCCCTCTCCGCTGGAACTCCTGCTGGGGTCCTGTCCCCTGCCTTTCTACCCGCTGCACCCTGGATCTGGTAAGTGCACCTCCTGGAACCAGTGACACAGGACATCAGGTCCTAAGTAGGCATGGATTCTCCTGGATCCAGAGGCACTAATGACGCCCTGCTATTTAGATGAAAAGTCTGAGACAGAAGGCAGAGCCCATCTCACTGGTTCACACCTTTTCACCTAGGTCAGGATCCACCTGATTCTCAGGTATCCACCAGCCTGGACTGACCTTATTTCTGGGTGGCAAAAGGATGGGGCTGGTTATCAATTCTAGAATATCACTGAGAGATGTTCGCTGGAGGACTAAATTCATGGAGGTAGTGGTTTCAATGGGAACTCTGTTCCTAAGTAGGCATGTAACTGGAAAAGTCACAATTAAATTCTTTAGGCCCTAGTGTTTCTATGTATACGAGTAGGGTGGCACGTGGGGCCACTGGTTGTCATCCACCAATGTGTACTTGCATTGCCAGGGAGTGTACTTTAAAAAGTACCAAGCAAAGATTCTGATGTAACTGGACTGAGGTAGGCCCAGGCCCCCTAGAAAATACTAATATCCAGCGAAGGTAGAAAATCCCTGGGCTCAATAATCACTGAGCACTGATTCTGAGAGGGTGTCATCTTAGGACAGAAGCAGGCCGGCAAAATCTACTTCACGTGACCCGGCCGAGCAGTACATCTGCCACGTCCGAGCTGCCCATCTCAGAAGCAGCCCAGCCCCCTTTCTCTGTGCCCAGCATGCCAGTTGCGTTCTCGGTCCCCCTACATTCTGGTGGCCGAGTGAGGGGTACCTCTGCCCATCCAGGTGGTGGGCCGTGCTGCGAGGCCCCTGGGGACGGTTGCATCTCCTGGGTATCCATGCCAGTGTTTAATCACCTCTTGAAACTTCTCCAAGAAGTGCTCTGTGACTCGTTGGGTGCAGGAGAAAGGTGTCACCAAGGGATAGGGATGATCACCTTGATGGTAGTGAAATGTGAGCTCTTCTGTCCGACCTGAGATAAAAAGTGATCCTCACGCCTTCTCAAGTAGTCAGAGACTCTTGAGTTACCAGACCTGGGAGTGGGGAAAGAAAGGACGTTGTTTACCTCACTCACTTCTTGGGACCTGATCTTGTTGCCTTGATGTTGTGAACTCTAGCTTTTGACACTTGAAAAATTGTTCCTGGGTTTAAACTTACAAAAGTGTAACTCATGATCTTTGTTTGTTTATCATACTCTTTGTTTCTCCTATCCTAAAATACCTAGAAAACAAAAAGGCGTGTGCCTGTGTAACGTGTATGCGTGCATGTGCGTGTGTGTGTGTGTGTGTGTGCACGCGCGTGCGTGTGGTGGGGGTGCATTCCCCCTGCTCTGTGTGTCTAAGTGTGAGCTTGGGGTCTGGGCTTCCTGCCTGTTCTTGGCAGTACCCACAGTGAACTAGCAGTCTGTACCCAGTGTTGACCGATCCCAGGGCCCAACTTCATTCTGAATCCTGTCTTGGATTGGACTTTCCTCCCCATTAGAGTTCTTTACCTTTGTGTCTCAGAGGAGCTGCCCTTACCCACCGTCAAAAATCCAACACCAACCTAAAGGCCCACCTTAGCCCCCAGCACAACTTGTGTTCACTGCTACTTAATTTTTTTTTTTTTTTAGAATTGGATTCATTTTATGCTGATCATACTTCTCAAAGAGTTCAGGGTATTGGGCACATGTTATTTTATTATTTCATAATTCATTCTTCACCTGCTCCTTAAAATGAAGTAAGGCACAAATGCTACTAAGGAAAGATGGGTTTGTTATCATAACTTTAATGAAAAACTTAATTATTACTAAACTCAGAGGGTCATGTGTTTATATACACATTTTTCCTCTCACACCTAATTTTTTAAGATGGTAAGAATAGCCAGGGTTGTGCCAGGCCTTAAGGTTACTACTAGTGTGCTTTTTAAATCTTTACTGCTTCAAAATAATGAAAAGGTTGCAAAATAACTAGAAATGATAAGAAGTTTTAACTAGTCGCGGTTTCATTGAACACTTTTATCTCCAGAGGCAGCAGAGGTGTTCATTTCTTCCTTTCTCCTTTCCTTCCGTCTTCCTTGATTCACTCAGCATTCAAGGGCTGTGAAATGAATCCCTACTGTGTGCCTGTCCTCGTGTGGCTCATGCTCTCGTGGAGGGCAGAGGCGAGACAGAAATACAGAAACAAATGCATTACAGGTGTCATATGGTAGTTCAGACTTGATGAGCCCGGAGCGGGGGGCAGGATCGGTGCTGTGGAGAAAAAGAAAGTGCTGGAGTTGTACAGTTTTTAAAATAAGGTGGTCGCATGAGAGGGGGATCCTGAGCATAGAGCAGAAGGTGGTGAAGCAGAGGCTTCTGCACCTTCAAGTCACCAAACAGCAAAGAGGGGCCAGGCTGGAAGCAGGGTGACAGGTGGGAAGTGACCAGGCCGGAAGTGAGAGCTTGCAAGGCTGCGGATTGGATCAGAAGCACAGATGAGCAGACCAGGCCTTCAGGGCCCCTGCAGTGCCAGCCTCGAGGAGACTGGAAGATGGGCTTCCTGCTGTTTGGCCAGAATACCAGCAGCTTGAGTTCTCTGATGCCTCTTACCCGCCTCTGACATGTGCTTTGCTTTCCTTCTCCCCCAGGTCCAGGGATAAAAACTGCCCAGTGGCACCAAAGTAAGGATCATGGGAGGAATTTTAATAAACTTGTACAAAGCACACTCTTGGTTTGTACCGCAGACTAGACACAAAGTGACTGTGTTGCTTTTGGGCTGTTTTCTTGGGTCTGCTGCACGCTGTTTTATGACAAATCAGTATTGGGCTGGGCTGCAGCTCAGTGGTAGAGCCCTTGCCCACCATATAGGAGGCAATCAACATAGATCTCCCACATTTAAAGTTGAGAAAGAATTGTAAAAATATAGTTTTCAGTTCTTCTTAAAAATCAGATGTTCTATATGAAGTTCTAGAATAGGCAAAACTAGTCTGTGAAAAATCAGAGCTGTGGTTGCATGATATAGCAGAATGTGGATGAAGATTATCAAGCAATATTTCTGGGTAATGAGAAATTCTATGTCTAGTAGCTTGAATGCACAGAAATCCTCAATGAACCATATGCCTGTGCCAATCTACGTGTAATTGAACCTCAGTGTAAAGAATGTCTCGATTTTCACATTAAAAGTATTTTTAATTGACATCATAATTATACACATGCATGGGGTACGATGTAGTGTCTTGATCCACGTTCACATTGTGGAATGATTTCATCAAGTTAGTTAATATAACAATCACCTCATTTACCCAACCTTTATTATGGTAAGACACTTGAAATTTATTCCTTCAGTTATTTTGGTAGGAGTACATTATCATTGGCGATAGTCACCCTGCTATAAGCAGATCTCAAATCTTACTCCTTTCCTCACTGAAACTTTGCATCCTTTGCCGTGAAACCACCACACCCCACCCCTGCTCCTCCCTGAAGCCTCTGGTAACTCCTTCTGTTTCCATGAGTTCGGCTTTTTAAAAACTCCACATAAAAGTGACATCGCGGGGTGTTTATCTTTCTGTGCCTGGGTTATTTCGCTTACCGTACTGTTCCATAGAGCTACCATGTGTGCTCTGTCTACCCGCCAGCTGATGGTCGTTAGGTTGTTTCCATTTCTTGGCTACTGTTCAGATCATCTCTTTGACATGTTGATCTCATTTCCTTTGGCTGATGCTCAGATGTGGGAACACCAGTTCCTGGAGTAGTATTTTGAGAAACCATGATTTCCCTTTTCCCCATATCTTTACCAAAAGTTGTTATCTTTCTTCTTCTTTTAATAGAAGGCCTTCTAATGGGTGTGAGACTGTGTCTCACTGTGGTCCAAATCTGTTCCCTGATGGATTAGTGATTCTGACAAGTTTTTCACTTACCTGTCATTCATTTGTATGTCTCCTTTCAGAAATGTCTGCTAGGGCCAGGGATTTGGCTCAGTGGTTCCACCGCCTGCCTCACAAGCACAAGGACCCAAGTTCGATCCCTGGTACAAAAAAAAAAAAAAAAAAAGAAAGAAAGAAAGACAGAAAAAGAAATGTCTGCTCAAGTCCTTTGCCCATTTTTAATCTTTTTTATCGTTGCTATTGAGTTGTTTGAATTCCTTTTCCCTCTTAGATTGTTAAGTTTATTCATCGTGGAGAGTTGATACATGTACACAACACATCTTAATTTATTTTTCTTTCCCTTTTGCTGCATTCCTTATGCATTTTAAATGCTAACCCCTTATTCAGGGTATGGTTTGTGTAGATTTTCTCCCATTCTCTAGGTTATCTCCTCCCTTGCTGTAAGAAGCTTTTTAGTTTGTTATCATCACATTCACCTATTTCTGTTTGTGATACCAGTGCTTACAGGGCCATTTCCCAAAAATCATGGCCTAGCACAATGTAATGGAATGTTTTCCTTACATTTTTATATTAGTTTTATAGTTTTGGGTCTTAAATACGAGTCTTTAATCCATTTTAAGTTTATTTTTAATATATAGTGTGATATAAAGACCCAATTTCATTATTTTGCAAGTAGATAACCAGTTCTCCCCAAAAAGGCTGCAATGAAAGTTTTAAATGGAAATCCCAGCCAACACCTGTACGGACTGAGTGGCAGCTGTGTGCTCCAGGCTTGGCACACACTTTCTAGATGGGCACAGACTCTCTGGGCCCATCTCAGTCTTTTCATCAACTACCTGACCCCTATATGTGCTGCTGGGCTGTGATGCCTTCAGTAATGGTAGTTTGGGTTTCAAATATCAACAGGAAGTGAATCTGAAGGGCCCTCCCTCGTTGACTGGCAAAGGAGAAAAATGACTTTCTTCTATGTTGCATGTGAAACATTGAACAAAAACAGTCCTGATAGTGCACCTCCGTCAAGCAACTCACCTCCATCCCCCTCTGGGTTAGCAGTATTGTCAGATCTCGGGATTCTCAGCAGTCTGTGGAGAGAACCCCACTCTTCCCTCCAAGGCCAGGGTCTCCAATGTGGGCAGCCTCCTTCTAAGAGGGCAGCAGCACTAACTC